ATGTTGCCCGTACTCTCTCTGTGTGGCACCGTTTAAAGAGAGAGCCAGGTCTGCGTGCAGCATTCCCAGAGCTGTTGTCCTTAAGCAGCAAGAATTCCCGGAGTGGGAGTTGACTTTAATTCACTCTCTCACTTGGTGTGATGATGAGGACAGGGCCAAGGCTAGGACGGGCAGCGCCCGAGGAGGAAGGGAGGCTGGGGAGGCTGGATCGAGGGAGGCTGGGCAAAGGAGGTGGAGCAGGGAAGGATAAGGTGTGTCTGAGGGGCTGGAGATTGCTGGGCTGAGATGATGGGAGGAAAGATGGCAGAGTTTGTGGAGGGGAGATGGGCTGTAAAGAGGTGGGGGAACACGAGAAAGAGAGATGGAAACGAGGAGCCATCAGACAAGCGTGTGGTTCCTCAAGTCCCAGAGCGTGTCAGTGGCAGCACCAGGCATAGCACCCGGCATGCCTGCACTATCAACTAAGCGACGTAGCTCCCTTCTCCCCAGCAGTGACTCCTCCCTCTCTTTCGCTCACTCCTGGCAGCTCCCACTTGCACACAAGGGCGCTCTGCTAGAGGAGCTACTTGCTGCTCTGACCTGAGCTGCGGGAAAGGAGGTGAGGAGTTGAGGTTGGCAGCTGGCTGAACCTGCAACACACATGGGAGCTACCCCTGAGACCAGCTGTGGGGGAGCATGGAGGGAATCAGGCAGACATCATTTTTGAGGAGGCACCTGTTGCATTTTTCTCTCCTGTGGTCCCTAGAGCAGCCACCAGAGTGTTTTTGGTTTTGAAAGAGACTTAGGGTATTGCAGCTTCCCACATGTGCTCCTCATTCTCCTCAACTGTCCTACCATCACCCTGCTATGCCTTCCGCCACCTCCTACAGGTGAGGGGAGCTGGGAAAGTGATCTTTGTCAGCTTCATCCACACCCAGAACAAAGCAGCAGGGAGGCAAGAGAAAAAAATGTTTGGTGCAGCGTCCCAGCCCTTCCCAGCCAGCCAGCCCTGCCGTCAGAACTTTTAAAGCAAGCAGAAAAACTCTGCAGGAGTTTCTGTCCTGGGTGAGATTTTTTGCCTTTCTGAATCTTTTTTCATTCTGATTCAGAATTAAAAGGTGGAACTTCCCACAGAACAGAGATTTTCAAAAAGAATTATTTCCCAAAACCCAAAATGGAATTTTTCAAACATTTTCCAGGCTAGCTTCACGGCTGCCCAACTGGCTGGCTGGATCCCCAGCCAGCCGAACTCTCACCAGGTGGCAGCCTGGCAATCTGGTGAGCCAGGAACCCAGCTAGCCTGGGAAACTACCCACTCACCAGGTGGGCTGCCAAGGAGCCGGACAGCCCAAGGAGGCAGGTGGGGAAACTGGCAGGGAACCAGACAGGTTTTTATCAGAAACCTGCCTGGTTTCCACTGAAAATGTTGATGAAACTGAGACATTCCCATGTAGAATCAACATTTTCTGATGGAAAAATGGTCAGAAGTTTCTAAGGGAACAGCTCTACAGCCACTGTAAAAGTTCCCTTGCAGAGACTTTACAATAGGCAGCTAGGCTGGGGGAGGCTGCTGTGCACTGCTGCTGCCTTCGGAGTCAGCTGCACCCAGGCCATAACCACTCAGAACCAGAGACTGGAGAATTGCAATAAACCAGCCTTGACATAACTACCTCCATGTGTTCTTACCAGGCAAAAGTCTCCGGCTAGCAGTGTGTAGCAAGTCATGCAATGATCATAGTAACAGATGCATGCTCATCGATAAGGCTAAGTCAGATGATGAAATAATAAAGCCATAGATTATTAAGACCAGAAGGAATCACTCTAATCCTCCAGTCTGATTGCCAGTGTAACACAAACCAGCAAATTTTACCCAGCGATTCCTGCTTCTGGCCCATAAGTTCTGGTTGAGCTAGGCCATCTCTTTTAGAGACATCCAGTTTTGATTTAAAAACTTCAAGTGACAAAGAATCAAATCTTCTTCCCAGGCAGGTACTTATAGATCATGGTAAGTTCACTTCTATCCTCGCTTTGGATGCCATTCAAGCTTTCAGTGCCCGACTATGGAATCAATCATTTGTTGTCCAATACAATTTCTAGTGTTTCTCAGAGCATGTACATAAACCTCTTATGTTTTGGTTTCCAGTTCATTAGTAGTATTATGGTAATGCCTAGAGGCCCCACCTGAAATTGTGTTAGGTGCTGCATGGGTATGTAATAAGAGAAAGTCCCTAACCCAAAGAGTTTACAATCCAAATAGACAAGACAGACCAAGGGTGGGAGGGGAAACAGAGGCGCACAGAAGGGAAGGGACTTGCCCAAAGTCAAACAGCAGATCATTTGCAGAACCGAGAAGAGAACACAGCATGTCTGTGCCCCAGTCTTGTGCCCTGGGCTACGCTGCTTTGCCTTGTAGTAATAGAGAGAACTGGTTGGAAAGTTGAGTGTATCTGTGTCAGATATTTAAAAATGAAAAGGCAGATCACACCTTCTTATAAGAGGGAACATGAATTAGAATGATCCAAGATTGGACCTCCAGCCCTGATCTTCTGTGTGCTTTGGAAAAGCCATGACTCAAATCTAGACCTGAATCCAAACTTCAGCGCTTGGTACGAGTTTTGTGTAAAGCACCATCATTCTGTCCTAACATTGAAAGTTACAGAGTACATAGCGAGTTTATCGTGATCCTCATAAAATAGAGATCTTGTGGCTTTCTAACAGCCAAAACCATATCCCTGCTGCAGTAGCTATCTCCCTGGCAAAGATGTCCTATAGGGAGGGTGCTAAAAAAAACCCTCCTTAGTATTAGGAAGCAGCTGTGGTGCTCTGCCCAGCTGTAAGTCTTTCTTGCATTGTCAAAGTGCACGTTATCTCTTGCATGAGCCATCTTTTCTTCTGAAATGAGTTCAACACACAACACTGAGTCAGCTCATTAACATTGGATGAAAGCACATAGAAGCTTTTGAGTCAATGATCCCTCTGCAGCAATTAAGAAAGTGGGGAATGAGAGGTGACTAAACCTAGGACAAGCCACGTATTCTTAAAGCTTGTATCTGGCAACTTGATACTACAATGGTGGGTACATCAGACATGCCACTGGCAAGTGATCGATTTACTTCGGTTACCCACGGCTTCATCTGCTCTCTGTTATACCAATGACTCAACAATAGAGCGGTGCGAATAACTGATTGTTCAGTTCACTGCATGCAGTGTTGTAGCCATGTCGGTCCCAAGATATTTGAGAGAACAGGGGCGTGACATCATATGAAAAGTTGGTCCACTAAAAGATATTCCTTCACCCACTTTGATTTTTCAGTTCACTGGCAATACCAAAAGTTTGGAAGAGAAATCGTTTTGGGTCAACCAAAACGTTTTTGGAACCAAAAAGTTGAAGAAAAATTCATTTTGTTTTTTAGGTTTTTTAACCTCCTGGAATTTTTTTAATTCACCCATTTTGATGGCTGTTCCTCCTCCTCCTTTCTCTGGACCTGATTCAAAGCCCACTGAAGTCTCCTGGACTTCAGTGGGCTTTGGATGGGCTCTCTTTCAGCATTCCTGTTTGGTCTTCTCTTCCCTCTTTCCTTGATCCCTGGGTGACCCCACCCACTTCAAACATCACCTTATATGCTAATATCCCAGACCTATTTTTTCACCCCAACCTCTACATTTCTGTCTATTTATTAGCAACTGAAAAGAGGTGGTTAGAACAGAAATACTTTCTCACCCTTAACTATAGCATTTGCTTCTGTACTACAAAGGCATTTTCTTCTGTTTCTGTCATCAGTGCATGTCACGTGTGGAAATTAATAGTATTTGTTTCAGCCAGTCGTTTATACTGGATTGATCTCACACAACAGGGATTCTTTTTTAGAGCAACCATCTAGATAGGAAGTTATTATGCAGAGGTGTCTTTAACCACATTTGGGGCTTCTGTTCCCCATTTGTAAAATAAGGTGATTATTTCTCCAGCCTTTTACCTGGCCTGTCTCCATAAACCTTCATCCTGCAAAGACACACGTGCTTAATATGCTGTGGGTGGGGGAAGTCAATGGCATTACGCACTGAGCATAAAGTCATACGTGTGTCTGTCATTGCAGGGCTGGGGCCTGGGGCAAAGGGCTGTCTCTTACTCTGTATAAATACAATGTATGCTGGAATGGAGCCCCGCTTTCCGTTCGGACCGCTAGGCATGCCTGCCAAATTAATAATAATGATGATTTTTCAATACTCTGTGAATCCACTCCAGTACCAGAGGTTTAGTGATACATGTGCCACACTGTATATATAACACTATAGCAGGGCATTGGAACTGTGAGCTGCTGGGGTAGGGACCATCTTTCTCGAATGTCTGGAAAACACCTAGCACCTTGTGGGCTCTACTGTACAATCATAACAGTGCTACAATGAGCCGTTATAGCATGTAATGCAATATCTGTCTCAAAGTTCAGATGGTTTCTGATTATTGAACCTAGATAATATCACTTCTCCCGCTGCAGAAAAGCTCCCCATCTAGAAAAGTGAGGGGGGGTCACCTGCATATCCTGCTAGATGTACACGCAGGATCTGTGGAGAAGCCACACCAAAGAACAGTTAGATCTGCTGCTTGTGGGCAAATGTTGTCGACTTAGTGGGAGTGCTGTCTGGCTTTCCTAAGGGCTGGTGGTGATCTCCCCCCTCCCACAAACACAGCTCCCTTTCTGCTCTTGCTTTGTCACACAGACCCTGGCAGGGGTGGAGGGTGACAGGAAATGTGGCGATTCACCTGACACTAATCAGTTTTGTTCCCTTTTCTGCACACAGCATGAGCTCTCTTCTCCTGGTAGTAGTCAGAGCGACAGTGCGCGGTTTGTAATGATCCTCTGGCTGCAGATTTTGCTTTGAATGCAGAACTGAAATACGTCTTTACATCACCGAGACCGATCAAGAACTGAGGGTCGCCTGCACCTTGTGTCCTGTTCCTTTGCTTTTCGAAACCTCTCTTCTCAAAAGGGAGTTGTAGTCCTGTTTGGACAATGCTTTCGGAGAAGTGTCTAGGATGTTTTTATTCCAGCTTCTGGCTGTGGGCATATGCGTTCGTGTCCTTGATTAAAGGTAGGTTTCTTTTTAGCTTGTCTCTGAGAAATCGATTTAGCCCTTTCCTCCTCCTATTTTCCTCGATTCAGCTTGATTGAAAGTTTTAACCAATTGTTTAACTTAAAATAACCTTGTGTAAAAGTCCAGGATATAAACATGTGGTTGTTTATTAAACCAAATGTTAAGAATGTGTTTTCTTAAAACATTTCATTCTGGTTTGATTCAATGAGAAAATGCCTCTAGAGTATCATGGAAAATAGGAGATAAAGTGATGTAGTGTTAAGCCACTGCTTAACTAACAAGGGCTAAAGGTGTAGGGTTCTGTGCATGTTTTGCATTCATATTTATGCAAGTTAGAGATTTCTCACTAAATAGTCATTTAGCTTCAGTTGTGTGATACATTTTTCAAAAGCACTTGCATGACTTTGGATCAGAAGCCATCACTGAGTTTCAAAGGGACGTGTCCTTCCCAAGTGACTTAGGGCTGGTCTATACTTAGCCGCTAGTTCGGCGGCTGGAAATCGAACTTCCTGGTTCGATTTATCGCGTCTGGTCTGGACGCGATAAATCGAACCAGGAAGTGCTTGCCGTCGACTGCGGTACTCCATCTCAACGAGAGGAGTACCGCGGAGTCGACGGGGGAGCCTGCCTGCCCCGTGTGGACCGCATCTGAACCGTGGTAAGTTCGAAGTAAGGTATGTCGACTTCAGCTACGTTATTCACGTAGCTGAAGTTGCGTACCTTACTTCGACTTGGGGGGTTAGTGTAGACCAGGCCTTAGAAACTTTGGAAAATCCCACCCTTCATAGTCACCAGGACTCCATTATTGTGAATTACCATATCACTTTATATGGTACAAATAAAATGGGTTTTAACATTGAGACAAATGTGAAAATAAATGAAATCCCTGGAACTGGGGAAGTTCGGAACACCTACCTGCCGAACAACATCTTGTTTCAAAATGTTACTTTAGCTTATAGATCTAGGGCCAGGACCATTAAAAAGACAATAGCTATTGTACTTTATCCAGAATATTTCAAACATGCTCTTCTTGGTCTCATTCATACCTCACTCCTCTTTAATCTCTGTCACTCTGGATGGCAGGTATCGCTTTTGCTCACTCTTCCTTAGAGGCAAATGAAACAGTGTGGGGAAACATTGAATTTTGTCCCAAGAGTCTTTGAGGAGCAGCTCATTCTCCACTTACAAACTACAGACAGCATGGTTTCACGGGACAGTGACCAAAGAGACAGGAGAACTGAAAAAGCGATTGCATTTCATTTGTAGTAGGTGCAATAAATATGCAAACATAAAAAATATATAATAATTATTTGAACCGTCTTTTCTAGAATTTGCAGATTAGACATAACAAAATATAAGGTCATAGGTAGAATGTTAAAAATGTCTGTCCATAAATGGAAGAAAAAATCCTATTTACCAACATTTCAGATTCTAATATTGGTATCAAATGTGGGCTGATTTTATTTCACCCTAGAGGAAGAAATGTCATTTTCAAAGCATAGCAACAGTGGGCCTACAAATGATACGTCGTCTTTGACAATGACAGGCTGCGTAGCTCAGTTTGAGCCATGCCTGGAGCCTGAAGTCAGCAAAGATCTCATTGAAAGTAAGACGCAAATGTTTAGATGAGGCTAGTTAAGAGTTGGAACAGCTTGCCAATGAGTGAGGTACATTTTCCATCACTTGCAGTCTTGAAATGAAGTGTGGGTGTCTTTCATTTAGATGTGCTTCAGTTCAACAGTAAGTCAGGGGGCTTGCTGCAGGACTAGTGGGTGAAATTCTGGCCTTAATGGATGTAATCTATTGGGTAGATAATAAATGCACCCTTGAAATAAATAAATAAATGAAGTGTATGAGATCTACCTAAGAGCTGAGCAATGGAATGCCTTGCAATGGGCTGCTTTAGGATAGACGCGCATATCATATTTGTCCTCGTTCACCTCATTTACATTTCTGGCTGTGGCGTCACCTGTTGAAGAGGGACGTGTTACCTACTCCTAAGGTGGAACATTTACCATGATTTAAAGAGCAATTCCCACTATTCTTAGGATTTGTTCAGTGCTGATCAGAGCCCTAGTGTAGACAAGGCTCTAGTGACCTATTTTCACCCCATGTTATTTAAACCTGCTGGCAGGAAGTACAGTCAAATCAGGGATAAAACTAGGTCCAACTGCAGGAGCTGAGCTAATCTATTCAGTTTAGGTACTTGTATGTTCCCTGTTTTCATAGTAATGGGGTCTCATGCTCTTTAACATTTTTATCCTCACAACACCCCTTTGAGGAAGGGCAGTGGTATTATATCCATTTCACAGATGAGAAACTGAGGCACGGAGAGGCTAAACGACTTGGCCCAGGTCACACAGGAAGTCTGAAGCACAGCCCGCACCCAATTAGTACCCTAACCACTGGACCGTTCTTTCTCTCCAGGGCTCGGACTCCAGTGGGTGCTAACATTGGTATAGAAGAACCGGTGATAACAGTAATGAGAATTCCATTTGTAAATATCCCATGTGTAGACAAGACTTTAGCGAAAAGGATGGAGATTGTCTCTCCACCTGCTACCAGTGGGGTGCACTCACCAGTTTCCAAAATGGTTCGTAGCACTTGGTCTTTACTTAGTCACGGCTTCTAGACACTCACGCACCAGCAGTAGCTCTTGGTGCCTGTTGTGGTTCTGACCTTTCCTCCTTGTATCAGTTTACCCCGCTGTCTGGAGTGGCTCAGGGCAGACACCCCTAACTGTGTGAAATTAGATTTCACCAACCCACTAACAAATGTGAACTCCCAAAATATTACAATAGTCTTAGAATGGGTCAAAGACAGTCCTCTTAGACTGGAGTGTCTATCTTGCCACCCAGGCCAGCTGGACTATGTGATAAATGGTCACAAAATCACAAAATATTCAAGTTGCTTCCAGTCCCAAAAGACCAGACACTTACCCCAGATCAATTGGTTCCTTAAATCTCACACCAAAGACAATGCCTATAGCCAATCCTGCAATAAATTATCTAAAGGTTTATTAGTTAGGAAAAAGAAATGAGTTATTTAAAGCAGGCAACAGATACACAAGTGACTTCAGTGTATGGTTTCAAAAAGTGACAGAGAGTTGTAGTAATTTGTCAGCACTGAATGACTTTTCAGAGTTAACCCCTGCCAAGTGGCATAGGGATCTCTATGTTTATGTTTAGGATTCCTTGCCCTCAGAATCCAGACAGCGTAAAAGAGATTTTCTCCTTCTCAGGGATTTTTATCCCCTCCACTCCAGGGTACAAAACCAACGAGAGAAATTCAGGCGTATGTGTCTTCTTCCTGGAGAGAGTTAGCAATGCAGTCAACAAAGTCTCTGTCCTTTGATGCTACACAATACGTCATTTGCCTTCAATGGGCCATCTTGGATGCTGGACAAGCCCTTTACCTTAATGAGTGCTGCTTTTCCTATTTGGTGAGTGACACAAATACAGAGGTTTGCAATGCAAACGCTCCGTGTAACTTTATACCCCGGGCTATAGAGGTTATAGGTGAGATTAATACAGGCAGCATCCTACAAGCACTTTATAAAGTCTAGACACATTCTTAGCAACTTAACATCTAATACCTATTTTGATAATGCTACCGCATAGTGAGCCAGCCTGGTTTCCAGCTACGCATTTGTCAGCGTTCAGTGAGGCCTGGGGCCTTGGCATGAGCTGGCACCTGGTCTGCCAGCGTCACATGGGCCTTTGGCACTTCTGGGCTAGGCTGCTGCCCTACACTCTATGTGAGGCCACCCCGCAGGCTTCTTCCACAGTGTCCCCCTCCTGATGGGCCTTTGTGAGCACATAACGTCAGCGCTCAGGCCTGCGCTGGCTCCCCAGCCCCACCCTTCGTTTCCATAGCAATTCAACCCTTGGCATTACTCTTTTTCTTTCCTGTCGGTATCGTGGTGGTGCGCAGAGGCACCAGTCCTAAGTGCAGTACAACCACTGAGGCTGCAAGTCCCCTCTCTGGCTGAGCAGACTCAGTGCAAACTGGGGGGGCTGGGAAAGCAAAGGTTCTTTTAAGCCCTCTTTGTGGTTTTCCAGTTCTGAAACCAGCCAGATGCTGGACCAGTCTCCAGTGCAAACTAGAGAGGCCTAAAGGCTGATCTGATCTACATCAGTTGTCAGCAACCCCAAGGAGCTGTTACAGTGGACAGGGATCAGCCGGATGCAGGAATACCTTAGCTATGCCTCCTTGCACCTGGCCACATCCAGTCCTGCGTACCATTGGCCAGGAGGAGGGCATTGCTGCAGGGAGCGCTACACTGGCTCTATCCCACCGGAGGATCCTCGAGAAAGTTTGCAATTCTAGATGGAACAGTTTTTCTGTTGGAAAAAGCAGTTTCATCGAAATCAAAAAGTTTCATAGGCACACTTTTCACTGTAAGATTTTGACAAAATCTTCAACGGGAAAAAAGTCACAACAGTTTATTTTGAGTTTCTTGATTTCAGTCATATTGAAACATTTCATTTTGTTTATCTTTTCAATTCCTTTTTGTTTTGACTTCATATTAAAATATTTTAATGTTGTTTAATATAAAATAAATGTAATCTATAATGTTTTGCCCTTATCAAAACAAAATGTTTCAGTAGTTCCAAATTGAAAATTTTTGATAGTTCTGGACTGAAATTTTGGAGGGATTTCATCCTACAGGAAATTATGAAAATACAGCTTTTTGTTCCAATTCAGAATGAAAAAAAACCATTCAAAACTTCAGAATTTCTCAATGAATGGAAATTCCATTCTCCGACCAGCTCTAATAATAATCCTAATAGTACCAAACATCCAATATTGATTTAAAGACTTCAAGTGATGGTGTGACAGAATGCACCCCTGCATTCACACCCTACAGACTATTGTAATAATTTTTGTACAAGTATACCTGATAAGTTAAAACTCATAACTTGCTGATCAGTATCATCCTGATAAAATAAGTGGCAACATTATATATGAGGTTGTAAGATTCCACTGTGTGCTGTTATTAACACATGTTCCAAACTGAGGTTGGCAAACAAGTCTGTTCTAAACAAAGGAATGTGTGTTCTGCTTAATTTGCATTTAAGCAATAAACAGTCACCAGGCAGGAAGGGAAACAAAGGAAGCTCAAACAGGTGAGGAAAAAAGCAGCAGGGAACATCCTTCCACATAGACTCTCTCTCCTAGTGCCCAGCTAGAAATGTTTTTCAAGAGAGGGACTGTAACTATACAAAGGAGGGACAAACACCCCAAGGGGCCCCTTTCTCTCTTCCTGCCCTTCATAGCACCTGAAGTGACAAAGGAAGCCTTTGTTGGATTCTGAGAGAACGTAAGAACGGCCATACTAGGTCAGACCAAAGGTCCATCTAGCCCAATATCCTGTCTTCCGACAGGGGCCAATGGCAGGTGCCCCAAAGGGAATGAACAGACAGGTTATCATCAAGTGGTCCATGCCCTGTCACCCAATCCCAGCTTCTGGCAAACAGAGGTTAGGGACACCATTCCTGCCCATCCTGGCTAATAGCCATTGATGGACCTATCTTCCATGAATCTATCTAGCTCCCTTTTGAACCCCATTATAGTATTGGCCATCACAACACCCTCAGGCAAGGAGTTCCAGAGGTTGACAGTGCGTTGCATGAAAAAATACTTTCTTGTGTTTGTTTTAAACCTGCTACCTATTAATTTCATGTGGTGGCCCCTTGAGAAACAGTCCTGACCTAAGAAGCTTGTTCAGTAAGACTGCTGAAAGCGCACGGTGAGAGAACTTTGCTTTGAATTTAATATAGTTTAAGTCAGGCACCAGTAAGCGTTTTATCTTTATTTTTCTTGTAACCATTTCTGACTTTTATGCCTCATTACTTGTACTCACTTAAAATCTTTCTTTGTAGTTAATAAACGTGTTTTATTGGTTTATCTAATCCGATGTGTTTAAACTGAAGTGTCTGGGAAACTCCTTTTGGGATGGCAAGTTGTGTGCATGTTATTCTTTTAAAGAAATAACAGACCTTAAATAATTTGTATTGTCCAGGAGAGGGCTGGGGGTGTGTTGGGGTCACCTTGCAATATAACCCAGGCTGGTGAGAGCCAGAGTGTAACCCAAATGTGGCTGGCAGGCTGTAGTTACACACAGACACTCAGGATGTGGCTTGCATGCTGGAAGGCTGTTTGTGAGCCACCCAGGTGGAAGCTACTTCAGCAAGGCATTGTAAGGCACCCAAGGTTGCAGGCCAGAAGTGACACAGCTGCTCATTAGTCTAGACTGTACCCTGGTATGTCACAATTGGGTAATCCACCACATCCTCCCTAGGCAAGTTGTTCCAATGGTTATTTACACTCTCTGGTAATAAGTTGCAGCTTACTTCTATTCAGAATTTGTCTAGCTTCAGCATCTAGCCACTGGATCTTGCTATGCCTTTATCTGCTAGCTTAAGGAGCCCTCTTCTATCAAAACTGTGCATTCACGTGTCAGTGCACCAAAAGTCTGCATTAACAAGTGGAGGCTGGGTTGAGGACCCAGTGAAAATCAGGCCTGAAATTTTCTCTCTCCTCTTTCCCACCTCTTCAGCAACTGCTTTCTGTTAATTTTTGTCAATGCAGGTTGCTCAGCATGTGAACCAGAAGAACGGTTATTTCAAAAACTTTTCTCCCATTACAACCACTTCATCAGACCGGTGGAAAATGTATCTGATCCTGTGACAGTACATTTTGAAGTGGCAATTACACAGCTTGCAAATGTGGTAAGATTAATTACAGAATGCTTAATAGATACATGGGTGCTGATTTTAGAAGTTTACAAGCACAATTGCATGCACATAATTTACACACACAATTGCATGTGCAATCAGAGTGGGTGCACATGCAAATAGCCATTTGCAAGTTTCGTGTGTGTACAGACCTTGCCATTTTCTTTGCATGTTGTGTAGACGCAGTTCTGTAATCTTCAAGGCTCAGATGATTAGAAGTTTCTTGAGTTAACGGTTCAAGACGTACAAGTGCAGAATCTGATTAAACTGTACTCTTTTGGGGATGGTTTAAAGGAGTTTTCCTGTTTTCTTTTTCTCTCACACACACACTCACACTGACACATAAGTGGAGCTATATATATTTTTGGATATTGAAAAATCATAAGCCAGCCTCTTGGATTTTATCAACTAAGGGGCAGATTTTCAAAGGTATTTGGGTGCCTACAGGTATACATGGGCACCTAGTGGGGTTTTCAAAAGCGCCTAGGCACCTGCCTCCCAATGGGCCTAGGTGCATTTGAAAATCCTCTTAGGCACTTAGCTGCATCTTTAGGTACCTAAAGACCTTTAAAGTCTGGCCCCAAATGCTTAACTTTTATTACCCACCCGAAGTAAGGCCTGGTCTACACCTAAAGCGTAGGTCAATCTAGCTACCTCTCTCGGGGCTGTGAAAAATGTCACACCCTGAGTGCTGTAGTTAGGTCGAGCAGTGTAGACACAGCTAGGTCTATGGAATTCTTCTGTCATCCTAGTAACTGCCTCTTGGAGAGGTGAATTAACTACACTGATGGGAAAAACCCCTTCTGTCCACGTAGGGAGCGTCTATTCTCTGCTCCTACCGGGCATAGCGGCAGCTCCGTACTTGTGCCACTGTAGCAGCTGTAGTGTAGACAGGGCCTAAGCTCTCACAGATAGGCTGCTGTCTGCAATTAACGCATGTTCCCAAGCCTCTGCAATCTCTCTCTAGGGCCCCAATGCAACAGCCATTGAATTCAGTACTAGAGTGAGTGCATTTACATTAGAGGTTTGCACTGGCATGACTACATCGACGTAGTTACACTGGTGCAGTTTTCCTTAATGTTGACAAAGCATTGCATTGTGTGTTGTGTTGTGTAGATGCAGCACATTAACCCAGCAAAGCACTTAAACACCTGTGTAACTTTGTGTCCGAATAGTCCCACTGACTACATGTACTTCAGGACTTTGCTGGATCAAGACCTATGTGTGTTTTGGTTCCTGTCTGTCTTGGGCTAGCCGGTAACTGTCTCCGGATGCTGTAATTGATGTGTGGGATTGAAAAGTGTCCATCGATTTATGTATCTCTAGGATGAAGTCAATCAGATTATGGAAACCAACCTGTGGCTGCGACATGTAAGTGTCAGCACTGCGCATCAGTATGTGTTTTGCATCAGCACTGGGCTTTGAATGGCGTGAATTCGATCTAAAGACTAAACATCTCTTTTGTAATAGTGTCTTCAGAGAAACACACTGTCTGCACTAGAAACATTGCAGCAGCTGCATTGCTGGCAGACTTCTTTCGTCGACCTAGCAAGGTGTACTTGGGTCAGCTTAATGACATTGCATGGAGCATGAAATTTTAACTACAAACTTTGTAGTGTAGACCAGCCCACAGATCAAGAGAACTCAATCTAACCAAGGGCACAATTGAAAGGTTTTATAACTTAAGTACCATAATATTTGAAATTATGCAAAGGGTTCTCCCACATTTCTATTGTGTATTCTTCTCCACCCACTGTGTTACTGTGCATTTCATCTGCTACATTTCATGTCATTGGGCTTGGCCTGTGCACAAGAGGGACAATTAAATATGCAGCTCTGCACACAGACAGGAATAATTTCCTAAAACCAATCTAAATGCCTGATTCATCCGGAAGCCAATAATTTTGGGTGCTTAACAGAGCAACCGAATTTTCTCCGATTTTCCAAACATTCCGGGAGATATTGTGCAGACAGGGAAACACTGGGATGTTGCTCAACAGCACACCCGTTCCTTCCTGTGTAAATCCCCACTTGCACTGCTTGCGTAGCTTCCTGCAGCCTCTTTGCCCTTCGCTCCAACAAAAAGAGCCGTGGCCACCAAAGAGAGAGGCAGGAGGTAACGTTCACTTGTATGCTTTCCTAGCAGGGTAAAAACATCTTTTCTCTCTCCCGTGTGTGTGTGTCTGTCTGGCTGGCTGTACAGAGGGACTGTGAGAAGTTTAGGTGCCCAACTCCTTTAGGCTGCTTTGGAAAGCTCAGCCATTACGTTTAACGGCACTCTTTGTGTGGCCCAGACAAGGCGCTCTACCCTGCTAAGTAGGTATAAAGGCTTGGCCGTGGGCCCCACAGGAAGGTGGTGTGCTCCGCTCCAGTGAAAGGGCACTAGGCTGGGACTCGGCCACTGACCTGCTGGGTGACCTTGGATCAATCACTTCCTCTTTCTGTGCCTTTGTTTCCCCTCCCTTGCTTTGCCTGCCTTGTCTATATAGACTGTAAATCCTCCAAGACAAGGACTGTCCTGAATGCGTATGTAAAGCCCTGACCTTGGTTGGGCCTCTAGGCAGGACTGTGATCATAATTACAGCAGGCCCTGTGTCGCCTGCCTGCATGGCAGAAGGATCTCCACATGAGACTCACATAGGTCAACGTGGCTGGTGGCTATGGAGCAGCAGCAAGCCAGAAGACAGGCCACGTGAATGATCCCCAGTAGTTAGAGCCATAGCCCTATGCAAGTGAGGATGGAGTAAACATGAGCAGTACTCTTGTGGACTGGACGCAGGACTGTTAAGTTAATTAACTTAAGACGTTGCATTGTGTCCCAAAGTTCACAAAGTGCTGAGCCGTAGCTTTCTAGTGGTGCACCGCACCTTTTCCAGGCAAATCTTTACGCGCGAGTTGAAAACACTAGGCTTAAAATAATTATTTTTCCTTCCTTTAGATTTGGAATGACTATAAATTGCGATGGGATCCAATGGAATATGGTGGAATTGAATTTGTTCGAGTGCCGGCGGATAAAATTTGGAAACCTGATATCGTCTTGTATAACAAGTATAGTGCTTTTTACGTTTGCCATCTGTCAAAGGTCACCGTTTTATATAAGATGCTGTTTCACGTCCTTGTTCGCATTGTTTACACTGTGTCATTTGTATTTCTAGTGCTGTTGGGGATTTTCAAGTCGAAAGCAAGACCAAAGCTCTTCTTAAATATGATGGGATGATCACTTGGACTCCACCTGCTATTTTTAAAAGCTCCTGTCCTATGGACATCACATTTTTTCCCTTTGACCACCAGAATTGTTCACTGAAATTTGGCTCCTGGACATATGACAAAGCCAAAATTGACCTCCTGATTATTGGATCCAAAGTGGATATGAATGACCTTTGGGAAAACAATGAATGGGAAATAGTTGATGCTTCTGGCTATAAACACGATATAAAATATAATTGTTGTGAAGAGATCTATACAGATATAACATACTCCTTTTATATCCGAAGGCTACCCATGTTTTACACCATTAATCTGATCATTCCCTGTCTCTTCATTTCGTTCCTAACTCTATTAGTCTTTTACCTTCCATCTGACTGTGGTGAGAAGGTGACCCTCTGCATCTCAGTGCTACTTTCTCTGACGGTATTTTTGTTGGTGATCACAGAGACAATCCCGTCAACCTCTCTGGTCATTCCACTGGTTGGCGAATACCTGCTCTTCACCATGATATTTGTGACCCTATCAATTGTCATCACAGTGTTTGTGCTGAACATCCATTACAGGACTCCAACCACACACACCATGCCCAAATGGGTAAAAAGCGTCTTTCTCAAGCTCCTGCCTAAAGTCCTGATGATGACGAGACCTCTAGAGCCGCAGAAAGAAGCCAGCTCTAAAAAGAGTAAGAAAGGGCTTGCCAATAAATCTAGCAAGATGAAGCAATACGGAGACTTTAAATTATACAAGGAGCAGAGATGCTGCCACTGTGACAAGGTGAACGCACTTGTTACCGGCAAAAGAAGATTGAGCCCTCAGCCCATGAAATGGGGGATGGAGCACGTCAAGTACTCCGCTGAAGTGGGCGAGGTAATTAGCAACGTTCAGTTCATCGCTGAAAACATGAGGGGCCAAAACGAAACTAAAGAGGTAAGAGGGTTATTCCCACTGCCTGGGCTGCATGGTGAACCCTCCACTCCTGGCATGGAGCGGTTGCATGCATGAGTCGTCCCATTGAAGTCAATAGTGCTGTTCTGTAACTCTCCAAAAAGCTACCAGAGTTGTTTGGAGTGGTTTGTTTATGAAGCCCCATGCTGCTTAGTGTTCAGAGTTCTGCCGTTGTCTCTGTTCATAGACTCCACTCCCAGAATGGGCCCACCCATGTACATAGGTTCAGATTTCCCATGTAGTCTCTTACCAGCGTTTTATATCGTTTCACAGGCCTACATTTTCCTCAGTGGCTAGTGATTTTTGCTAGCCTCCATTTTGGGGGGCCCAACTTGAGACGCCTTAAAAGGGGCCTGATTTTCAGAGGGTGGGTGCTGGCCACTTTCTGAAAATGAGGCCCCCTTTAAGGTGTTTCAAGTTGGGCTCCCAAAAACAGAGGAAACAAAATCACTAATGGTCGTTTGAAAATTGTGGTTGCAGAAGTCTCTGTTTCTTTGTGGCTGTCCAACCCTGTTCTCTTTATTTAAGGTATCATAGACTTTGCCACCCACATCCATTATTAGCATCTTTTTTCCTGCCAATTTATAGGTAGAAACCCTCCTTCTTCCCTAGGATCCCAGTGCAGTATCACCTCAGTCTACTATTTTGTGGCCTGCCTATATATATATATATATATATATAAAATAGAGAGAGAGACCTATCTCATAGAGCTGGAAGGGACCCTGAAAGGTCATCGAGTCCAGCCCCCTGCCTTCACTAGCATGACCAAGTACTGATTTTGCCCCAGATCCCTAAGTGGCCCCCTCAAGGATTGAACTCACAACCCTGGGTTTAGCAGGCCAATGCTCAAACCACTGAGCTATCCCCTCCCCCGTAGCTTTCCTTGCAAGCTTTAACTGACACTGTAATCTTGTGTAGCAGCCTCAGGACTCCTCCGTTGGGAGTTCAAGGGACTTTTCTTCCTTGCATGCTGCTTTCTGGCAGCGATTATAATGGATTGTAACGCTTCCTTCTACACCCCTCGCTCACAAGAGGCTCAGTCTTAAAAAGTGCTGAGAGGAAGGTTAAGGTGCAATTAAGGTGCAGAACCTGGATTCAGTTCCTACTTCTGCCACAGATGTCCTGTGTGCCCTCGGGCAAGTCACTTAGGGTTCGAGGCACAAAGAAACTTAGGTGTCGTGATGCTGAGCGTCATGTTTAGGCCCTTAGAAAATCACTGGGGTTCACAAAGCCTGGGTTATGTGCCTAAGCTCCCTATGCAACGAATGGGGAGAAGTAGGCGCCTTAGACTGGAATGGGATTCACAGAAGCCATCACGGTAGGTGGCTCCCCACCAGAGGCCAAGCTGAGGGGTGAGTGCTAAGCCCCGCCCCTTTCTGAGATAGGCACCCGGGCTTCAGGTACGTGCCTCCCTCTGCCTGGGATTCCCAGCAGTTTTGGGGGTGGGGAGATTAAGAGGCTTTTAAAAACAAGACTCGGTGTTCGGCTCCTGGGTTTGCTTGTGCAGAATAATGAATCTTTCATCCGAACCGAGACAGCTGTCCTAGGACGTGATGCTCTGAGGGCGCAGTTTAGAATTCTAGGAACTCAAGGGCCGGATCCTCAGCTGGTGTAAGTCAGGGCAGCTCCGCTGAACTCAATGCGGCTTCATTGGTTTACGCCAGCTGACCATCTGGCCACCAACGTTTGCAGAGAAGGTGAGCAGAGGGCCAGATTGTGGCTCTGAAGGAGCTGACTCCCCGTAAGGGTAGGGGCTTTTGAGCAGGGCCAGATTAAGACAAAGGCACGACGGGCCATACCTAAGACTCCTGGAGTCACATGAGCACGGAGTCCCAGCTGCCATTTTAAAAAAAATGTTCTAGCCCTTGTGGATGCCATGAAAAACCTGGAAATATGACCTAGTGTCACTGACGCCTGCCTGAGTCTGCAGGCAGCCTGAAATGATAGCTCTAAGAGGTGTGAACTGTCCCAGACAGCTCAGCTCTGAAAGCTGCTGCCAGCCCTAAGGGGCAGGGCCATGGTGTGAGGTGTGCCCATGGCTTGCCACTCTGCAGCCAGGAATTCTGGCACACTAGGCCAGAGTGCTGCCTGGAACCTGAGGAAGTGAATGCTGGGATGGGGGCTCTGCCACCCTTTGAAAGGGTGTGGCATGCATGTCTTTCCCTGCACGGTGTAACATTGCATTACCAACCTATGTAACCAGTGCTTGTCCGCTATCATAGAATATTAGGGTTGGAAGGGACCTCAGGAGGTCATCTAGTCCAACCCCCTGCTCAAAGCAGGACCAATCCCCAGACAGGTTCACTGGTGCATTTTAGCTAAACCGAGATGACAGCAGCTTTGATTCCCGGGAGCTGCACAAAGCAGCCAGAACATGCCCCTTAGATTAGACACCTCGAACAACTCCCTAACCGCTTCTGCTCTTTTTGTGCACTTGCAGCACGGCTTAACACTACTTTAAATCGCATTCTCGGTTTAAACTGAGCATCAGCAGCTCTTCATCAATCGCAAGAGACCGGCTCCAGCCTTTCAAAACGTATTACAAGTGAAAAACAGGGGCATTTTGCTTCTGCTCAAAGCAGGGGGGAGGGAATGCTTGGGCAAGCTTTGACTTAACCCTTCGTACTCATCAGAACACTGCTTGCTGCTCGGGCCCGCCGTGGAGAGAAGGCTGGAAGGTGTCCAAAGGACAGCAGCACTTTGAAAGGGTTACAGGAATCGGGGCTGTATTTGCACTCACACAGAGCACAGCAGCAACCTTTGGAAGGAGCAAAAGTGTCGTAAAAATGAGAAACGAGGTGGGTGAGGTAATGTCGTGTATCGGGCCAACTTGTGTTGGTGAGAGAGACAAGCTTCTGAGCTTACACTGAGCTCTGCTTCCGGGCTGGGAAAGGACCTCCCAGCCTCACAGCTAAATGCCAGGTGGAGCAGATTGGTTAGCATGAGTAGTTCCATCTGGTCCAACTTGCATTTAGCAGCGACATTCAGAGTTAGTTTGCCAGGCCTGAAGAAGAACTCTGAGTAACTCGAAAGCTTGTCTCTCCCACCAACGGATCTTGGTCCACTCAAAGATATTACCTCACCCGCCTTGTCTCTCTGCAACACGGCTACCACAACCCTGCACATAAAAAGGAGAAGGCTGCTGAAAAGGGAAGGAGACATGAAAGGGACAATGTCAGCTCAGAATTAGCCACAAAAAAATGAATATTCCAGGGCTAAGTACTAGTGAAAAGGAGCCTCAGAAGGCCTGGGTGGGTCAGTTTGGTTTGGATACAGCTTCTCTATGGTTTATATTTACTTTCTGAACTTGTCAGCAAAACGGGGCTAGAAATCTTGCAGAAACAGCCTCTCTCCTGTGCGTTCCAGTAGATCCTGCTGATGTGCTGGCCTGAAATAGCATGAGAACAGGGCAGAGAGACAAAACGCACCGTGTCAGTCTTGGGCTCTACGTAAGTGCTGCTGCTGCTGCTGTGTTTGAATTTGAATGTGATGGTTTTGCTACTAATAGCTGGAGCTGGTTTAATGCAGGGTTTTAAAGGGCAAGAGCTTCCTGTCTGGTGTGTATTCCATTGATTGTCCTGAGAGCACTTAGGCCCCGATTCAGGAAAGCACTTGAGCACATGCTTGGCTCAATCATTTAAGAACTTCGCTATACGTTACAGGTCTGATTCCCCATTTTGGACTGAAATTGGTGGCGTTTGACCAGGATAACTCTGTAATATCACAGTGGTGAATCAGGCCGCAGATGGGAACTGTCTCTTGAATCAGCTGTTGGGCCAAATTCTTTGTTACACCAGTAGAAATCTGGAGGACGAACTCCATTTGTTTCACCGGCTTGACTAATTGCTTTCTATTTGTTGCAACCTTTTTACTTTTTCCTTTTGTGGGAGGTTTTAGAGCTTTTTGGTTTTTATCCTAACCCTGAACTAATGAGATTGATTCTTATAGCCCATATTTTTTCCCTGCCTTGAAGTCCTAGAGTCGCATTCTGCTCTCCAGTTCATCACTTATCCTGGATTTACATGGGTGTACCTGACACAGAATCTGACGCTACGGCTATCATCTACCATGGTTCTGTTGTTTGCAGCGGATGTGCCTATTTAAAAGAGATGCTACAAACTTGGCCAAGGGTTTACAGTTGTGTCCAAGATTTTTCCAAAGTCATTTGTGACTTTTGAGAGCCCAGCTTTGGGCACACTGAAGTGCTGAGCATTCACCCTCGGGAAATCAGGCCCCTTTGAGCACCCAAATATTGAGGCAAGCATTCGTCACTTTTGTAAATTTCATAGCTCGTGTATATTCTTCTTCCCGATGCTCACAAGCCCCTTACTCAGTACAATTATTTCTAGCAGGGGATCAAATGCACCCATCACATGCATAGTATGTTTAATGTGGTGTTTCCTTTCTTTTCTGCATTGCAGGTGGAGGATGACTGGAAATACGTGGCTATGGTGATAGACAGGGTGTTCCTTTGGGTGTTCATCGTTCTCTGTGTGTTTGGGACAGGAGGGTTATTTCTGCAGCCACTAATAGCAGACACATAATCCCAAGAATGCTGGTTGGTTTTTGTTTTGTCCAATTCCCTACTTTTTTGGAGCTCCACCCATCCCCTCCACTTTCTCTTGTTACACTCGGCCCATCCTCCAAGGGTCCATCTGCAAAGGGCTGCTGTTAAGGTGATGTTCCCTCTGGCTAAGCGGTCAGGGTGTGGCTTCCCCTTCCAACAGTCACAGGGAGAGAGAAGGCATTCCATCCTGAGGTCAGTTTCAGACTGTCACATATCATCGTCGAGTGCCCACCGACTGACTTCAACGGCGGGCTGCCGTCTCTCCACCTGGCTGATGACACCATTCTATGACTGGGCACGTTGCACATACACCCATGATCCCTTTGGGGACCTCTGTGGCAATTCCTGCTCCTTATTATCTAGGGGGAGATTTTCAAAAGCCCCCAGTGTCGGCCTAATTTTGCTCCCATTGACGTCAATGGTAACCACTGACGCCAACAGAAGCAGAGCTAGGCTAGTGGGAATTTTACCATTGCCTCCATTGAAGGCAGAGTTAGGCCAGAGCTGGGCCCTTGGAAAATCCCCCGCCTACTGTATTCTAGCTCTCTTGCTTCTGCTCCCAAGTGCACCCTAAACATTGCATGTGTTTGTTTTGCTGTCTTTCTATCCACTTAGTACTTCACTACAGCACTCGGATTACCTACGACAATCCTGCTGAATGCGTTGATGTTTTGTTGTATTCTTACAGTGAAGCCACCAACGTGAATAAAAGTACTATAAAAAACAAAATATGACCGGAGTAGTCAATAGGCAGACCATGAGCCAAATCCCACTCGCTAGATGCTTTTGAACATACCCTGAAATCTTTTTATTTACTTATCATTATTGTTAATTTTTTATTATTTTCTCTGAAGTTTGGACCTTGACTATACTTTGACCAAGAAATTTGGACCATGACAAAAAATAATTGACTACCCCTGAAACAGGCTAACGTGGACCCAATTCAGGAAAAAGCTCTCCATCTTCTGCATTGTGGATATCCAACTTAAGGCCCGGATTCAGTGAAGCTGTTAATCACGTGGCTTAATTTTACGTTTATGAATAAGTTCCATGGAAGTCAACTGGACATAAGCACACTCTTCAGTCCTGCAAAGATACATGGGCTTAACTTTTTGCACTGCAGATAGGCCCATTGACTTCAATTAGATTATTCACAGTGGATAAAGTTAAACACGTGTGTAAATTGAGCCTAAGTGCTTTGCTAAACTGCAGCCTATGTGGGGTTTTTACACCTTTTGCTGGTTTACCACAAGGTCTCTGCCTGGATGTGTTCCTAAGGACTCGAGCCTGCATTCCTTACTGAGAGACAAAATGTCCATTGAAGTCAATGGATGTTTTTAGCGACACAAGCAATGGAAGAGCCTGCCTCTTTCACGTGAAAAGGTGTGGTAGATCCATGCAATATGTAGATCAAAGCTCTGATTGTCACAGTTTCCTGAACTGATGCAATTTCTTATAACAAAAGAACAATATAACACAGTTAGCAGGTACTTAAGAACTAGGGTTATTTAAAAGATGGTTTATTTCAAATGAGTATAGATCAGTGAGAAGAGGGGTTTGATTCATGCCATAAATCAACAGAGGGCTGGAAAGAATATCATTTTCCTATTACAGTATTTGAAGAGTATAGCAGGCAAATTATTTTCTTTCAATATAATAATACGAGCTGTCTGTGACACAGTTGAATGCCGCTCAATCATGTAGTGAGTGCTCTGCAGATGTTTGAACACGCATGGTTTATCTCATTAGCCCATTGCTGAATAAAGCCTCTGAAGCATGCCCTCTTGAGGAATGGTTGTGGTTTTTTAATGAGGACTTGAAGGGATACTGTCGAGTTGAATTCTTTTTTTGAATTCACTGGATTGTGGATGGGAAGGAAGGGGAGTTGGGGCCTGAATTCTGATATTGGTGCATGGGCAGTGCCTGCTCTCTGCCATTTACTGTTATTTGCAAACAAACAGCAGCCAGTTAAGGAAAGACTTGCAGTTGAAAGTGCGTTTCAGTGGAGGCCAGGGCCCCGAAACTAACACCGCAGCTACACTAGGCTACTTTCTTTAACACAAATTTTACGGAATAGGGTTAGAATTTCTGGAACGGTACAGTTAAGGCATCCAGCCACTTATCAGCCCTCAGTGTCACCCCACCTGATTTACACCTCCACTTCTCCATCAAACACCCTTCCTCACTGCAGATCCGCCTGCCTCGGGGACACCTCCGTACACAGCTGGCAATCCAGCTTGTTGAATTCTAGCTCAGGTGAAAGGTGTGAGCTGGTGTTTAAAGGTGGCAAATATTTTGTTGCGGTAAGTGCAACTTGTCCAAAATTGGTGGCCACGTGTTGAAATTAACATGGGACACATTAAACGGCTTAAAAGCTGGCTAACTGACAGGTCTCAAAATGTAATTGAAAAGGGGGGATCATCACTGAGCAGGTGTGTTACTAATGGGGTCCCACAGGCCCCCACAGTTCTTGGTATTTTTATTAAGGACCTAGAGGAAAACAAAAAATCACTGATAAAGTTTGCAGATGACACAAAAATTGAGGTGGGTGGTAAATAATGACGAGGACAGGTCACTGATCCAGAACCATCTACATTGATTGGTACCTTGGCACAAGCAAATAATATGGGCGTTTAATACAGCTAAACGTAAAGGTATACATATAAAGTGGATAGAAAGCTGGCTAGATCGTCGGGCTCAACGGGTAGTGATCAACAGCTCGATGTCTAGTTGGCAGCCGGTATCAAGCAGAGTGCCCCAGGGGTCTGTCCTGGGGCCGGTTTTGTTCAACATCTTCATTAATGATCTGGATGATGGGATGGATTGCACCCTCAGCAAGTTCGCGGATGACACTAAGCCTGGGGGGAGAGGTAGATACGCTGGAGGGTAGGGATAGGGTCCAGAGTGACCTAGACAAATTGGAGAAGGCCTAGGCTGGATATTAAGAAAAACTATTTCACTAGGAGGGTGGTGAAACACTGGAATGGGTTGCCTAGGGAGGTGGTGGAATCTCCATCCTTAGAGGTTTTTAAGGCCCGGCTTGACAAAGCCCTGGCTGGGATGATTTAGTTGGTGTTGGTCCTGCTTTGAGCAGGGGGTTGGATTAGATGACCTCCTGAGGTCTCTTCCAACCCTGATCTTCTATGATTCTACATCTAGGAACAAAGAACATAGGCTGTACTGATAAGCTGGCGGCTCTATCCTAGGAAGCAGTGTCTTTGAAAAAGATTTGGGGGTCATGCCAATGCCAAATACAGAGGTAAAATAACTTTTCTAGTCCTCCTTGAGATTCCCGTTTATGCATCCCAGAACCACATTAGCTCTTTTGGCCACCATGTTGCACTGTTCAGCTCACGTTCAGCTGCTTAGCCACCATGATTCATAGATTCATAGACTCTAGGACTGGAAGGGACCTCGAGAGGTCATCGGGTCCAGTCCCCTGCCCTCATGGCAGGACCAAATACTGTTTAGGCCATCCCTGATAGGTGGGGGGCGGGGTAGCTAGGTTCTGTGTGTGGGCAGGGGGGAGTCCAGGGTGCAGGGAGGAGGTAGCTATAGGCTGTGTCCATGCAGGGGTTAGCCCAGGATGCAAGGAGGGCATAACTAGGAGATGTGTGCAGGCCGGGGGTAGTGAAGGTGGAGGCAGGGTGTAACTAGGGGCTGTGTGAGGGCACGGGGGGTAGCTCATGGTTTAATGAGGGGGTAGCTAGGGGCTGTGTGCAGTCAGGGGGTTAGCTCAGGGCACAGGGAATGGGTAGCTAGGGGCCGTGTGCGGGCAGGGGGTAGCTCAGGATGCAGGGAGGAGCTAGCTAGGGGCTCTGTCTGGGCAGGGGAGTAGCTCAGGGTGCAGGCAGGGAGTATCTAGCAACTGTGGGCAGGTAGGGGGTAGCTCGGGGTGTAGTGAGGGATAGCTAGGGGCTGTGTGTGGGCAGTGGTTAGCTCAGGGTGCAGGGAGGTGGTAGCTAGAGGCTGTGTGCAGATAGGGAGTGTAGCTCAGAGTGCAGAGAGGGAGTAGTTAGAGGCTGTGTATGGGCAGGGGGTAGCTCAGGGTGCACGGAAGGAGTAATTAGGGGCTGTGTGCAGGCAGGGGAGATAGCTCAGGGTGCCGGAACGGGACAGCTAGAGGAGGTGTGCAGGCAGGGGATAGCTCAGGGTGCAAGGAGGGGGTAGCTACAGGCTGGGTTCAGACAGGGAGTAGTCCAGGGTTCACAGACTGGGTAGTTAGGTCTGTATGCAGGCAGGGGTAACTCGGGGTGCAGGGAGAGGGTAGCTAGGAGCTGTGTGCAATAGGGTGGTGTGACGTTCCCCTCAGATATTATCTGGACGGGTGACCTGCTAGGCCACTCCAATCCTCGACTCTGGGAGCCAGCCTTACCCTGCTCTGCTGTGAGAACCCCACTCCTAGGCTGTTCACGCACAGCCTCTGGCATGTAAGCTGCTCCCAGCTACTTGCAAGCGAATGACACTAGCCAATATCGCCAGTCCCAGATACAACCCTAGGAACCTCCGTCTTGCAGTGCCAGTTAATGCCCGCTGGACACTGCAAGCTTATATAAGTTTATCAATTTAACAATGAAATTGATATGTACCAGGCTTGTTATCCCCAGGGGAGCCTCTGACACACTTCAAACCAAACGCACTGCTTCAGGTAGAATAAACAAACAGGTTTATTAACTATAAAGGTAGATTTTAAGTGATTATTAGTCAAGTCAGATTTGGTCAAATGAAATAAAAGCAAAACACATTCTAAGCTGATCTTAGCACTCTCAATGTCCTTACAAACCTAGATGCTTCTCACCACAGGCTGGCTGGTTGCCCTTCAGCCAGGCTCTCCCCTTTGATCAGCGCTTCAGTCGCTTGGTGGTGATGTCTGTAGACGGAGGTGGAAGAAAAAGGAAGAGCATGGCAAACATCTCTCCCTTTTATCTTGTTCTTTCTTCCCTCTTGGCTTTGCCCCCCCCCCTTTCAGGGTCAGGTGAGCATTACCTCATCGCAGTCCCAAACTGACCAAGGGAAGGGGGGTGACTCCCTCGAGAGTCCAACAGATCCTTTGTTGTTGCCTAGGCCAGTGTCCTTTGTTCCTGTGAGGCTGGGCTGGATTTGTCCCATACCTGCCCTGATGAGATATGAACTGCCCCTCTGCTTCTGGAGAGTTTGTGCCTGGTCTGCTTTAAGCCACGAGGACACATTTTCAGCCTCATAACTATATACATGAAATTACAACTTATAACATTACTATAACAACAATTAGGGTTGTCTGTCTGGGGGGGGGGGC